ATTGTATCCTAAATCCCGCATTCATTCACATGCACAGAAAGAAACACGACCGCGGCACACATACAAACCGAGCTTCTTCACAAATAAATTTAAAAAATCAAAGTAAAAAAAAAACAACAGGAGTACTATGACAAAGAAAGGAAAACATAATTGTCGCTGTTTTTTTTAGTGTATATTTCCGTTTTGGGCAGACCCCCGCAAGATGCCCAAAACCATACGCGTGTGCCTTTCCCTGCGCAACTGCGGAAAACGTCTCAATATGTCTTTGGCTGTGACTCAGGCTTTTCCAACAATTCCTCGGCGTCCTTCAGCATTGTCTCCATGCGGGCCACGACTCTCTTCGCGGCCTCATTCGTTTCGGCTGCTGTCCTCTGCCTCGGAAGTTCCTTCTTTGTGAACTCCACAAAGTGCTTAACGTTACCGCTGCGCGGGATGCTGTTCTTCACTTCTCGCATCTCCTTCCCCACCCCCAGGACCGCCTTGGCGTTTGCCGCCTCTTTTGCATCCGCAGACACAGCAAGGAGACAGACGGTGTTGCTGGCACCACCAATGGCATAGCGCAGCAACGTGTACGGCAACTCTGGTTTCTTTTCTTTTAGCCCTGTGAGGTGCGCGACCTCCTCCCCGACATACACAAAACACAGAGAGGACAGATAAACAGTTGCATCGCCCGTGCTGCTCTTCTTCATCTGTTTAAGGACGAAAAATGCCACAACAAGTTCGTTTGCATCCTTTTGCTTCGTTAGCCCGTTTTTAAGCAAGGCCGCACACTCGCTGGAGCTTGTGAAGTTTTTGCTGGTCACACCCCTGAGCGCGGGACCAAAGATGGGGGAAGAGGCCATCTGCATCTTTGCATACGAGGCATCTGATTTTAGCAGGTCCTTGACATCGCTATTCCCCTTAACAGACACCATGGTTGCACTCACGTCAAATTTAACTTTTTCCTTTTCCAGCCCGGACAATGCATTTGCAAGAAATTGCTCCCCTAACTTGGCAGCCGCCTTGCATTCCCCCTTCATCGCTCCGAGGAGCATGGTGGAGTTGTGGCCGGCCAACCAATGGCGGCGGAGATCCTCAAGCATGGCGGACTCCATTGTCTTGGATGCGTCCGTGTGGGTGAGAACCTCATCAAATGAGAATTCATCCTTGTCGGAAGTTGCCACTGTTGTAGCATCCTTCACTGTGACGAGGGCAGACGAGGCTTTCTCAGGCGTTTTCACAATCACCACAAGACCACGGATGTTGGTGCCAGTTGGCGGCTTCACCGCCCCCTTTGTGCTTGCGTCGGCCTTCTTATCCTCCGTCTCCGGCGTCTTGGTCTTTGCCGCGCCTTCCTTCTCACCTGCCGACGTCTTACTAGACGGCAAAGTAGTAGAGGTGGCACTCTTGGAGGCCGTCTTTTCCGCACTGGTGCCATTCTTGCTCGCAGAGGCGGTGGTGGCGGCAGCAGTTCCGGCTTTTGCACTGGTGGGTTTTTCGTCCTTCTTGCCATCACTTTTCTCGTCGCTCTTCTTCGCAGAGGCCGTGGCGGCGGCAGAAGTTCCGGCTTCTGCACTGGTGGGTTTTTCGTCCTTCTTGCCATCACTTTTCTCGTCGCTCTTCTTCGCAGAGGCCGTGGCGGCGGCAGAAGTTCCGACCTTTGCACTGGTGGGTTTTTCGTCCTTCTTGGTCGCAGAGGCGGTGACGGTGGTTCCGACTTTGGCGGCGGCGGCTTTGTCGTTCTTCTTGCCATCACTCTTTTCGTCCTTCTCTGAATCGACTTTGGAGCGAACAAGTTCATTGCGTGCTAAAAACCCATGACAGCGTGACACGGCATTCACCACACTACCGTACATAGAACCACCCATAGGTCCTCCCATGCCATACATGCTTCCCATAGGTCCTCCCATGGCGTACATGCTTCCCATAGGCCCTCCCATGCCGTACATGCTTCCCATGCCTCGCTGAAAGCCGTACATGGAGCCCATGGGTCCTCCCATGCCGTACATGCTTCCCATGCCGTACATGCTCCCCATTGGGCCTTGCATTCCGTACATGGAGCCCATAGGTCCTCCCATGCCATACATGCTTCCCATGCCGTACATGCTTCCCACTCGACCTCCCATGCCGTATGCAGAACCCAAGCCACTGTTCACTCTTTGCATGGGACCAAAGTTACCATATCCGCTCCCCATCGGGCCACCCATACCCGGAACTTGCATTCCATATAAACTGCCACCCATGGATCCAGTGCGAGAGCTCATTCCTTTATAAAAGCTTCCTCCACTTGGGCCAGCCATGTTATTGTATGCGCTTCCGTTATTAACACTGTTTCGCAAAGACCCGGCGCGTGAACCCGATCCTCCATAAAAACTTCCTCCCCCGGGCCCTGATGGAGCCACTGGCCCTCCTCTTCCGGATGTAACGCCTTTTACTGGCATACTTTGGTAAGGTCCAGCCCCATTAAGGCCTGGATTCATTTCCATCCGGTTATGCATTATGTTCCCCGCGGCGGCGCCTTGCGCCACAGGGCCGCGGTTTCCAGCTGGACCAGCCATGGGCCCTCCGTAACCCCCAGGTGGGACCGGGGACCGCACAGAAGGTTGGACGTTCATTTTACTCCGAATTCGCAAGTTTTTTTTCTTTTTTTTTCCGTTTCACTGAAAAAAAGTGGCAGAAGACAACAGGAACAAAAAAAAGACACGCACATAAACGTCAGTGAAAGTAAAGAACAACCGCAGCGCACCGCGAGGGAGTCAAAGCAGCGGGCCCACGCTGACGACGCCCCGGGGCAGGAGCGTGGCAAGAGGAGCGCCAGAGGAGATGGAAGAAACGCGAGCCCA